GGACCACAATTTAGTCCCTTAGAGAAGTGGCTTTTTAAAATTTTCAACACCCTGGTTTAATATCTAAAATATATATATCCATCTCTCTCTATATCGATCTCCCTCCCTATCTACAGTGAAGGAAATAAGTATTTGATCTCCTGCTGATTTTGAATGTTTGCCCACTCACAAAGAAATGATCAGTCTAAAAACTGAATGGTAGGTGTATTGTAACACTGAGAGACAGAATAGCAAAAAAGCATTCAAAAGAAATGCATGTCTAACAAATGATGCACTGATTTGCATGTTCATGAGGGAAATAAGTATTTGATCCCCTTCACAAAATATGACTTAGTACTTGGTGGCAAATCCCTTGTTGGCAATCAAAGAGGTCAGACGTTTCTTGTAGTTGGCCACCAGGTTTGCACACATCTCAGGAAGGATTTGTAGCCCAGTCCAGCCTTGTGTAGGTCTACAATCTTGTCCCTGACATTGTTGGACAGCTCTTTGGTCTTTTCCATGGTGGAGAGTTTGGAATTTTATAGCTCCTCTGGACAGGTATCTTTTATACAGGTAACAATGAGATTAGCAGCACTCCCTTTAAGAGACTGCTTCTAATCTGCTTCTTTCCTGTATGAAAGACACCTGGTAGCCAGAAATCCTGCTGAATGATAGGGGATCAAATACTTATTTCCCTCATGAACATGCAAATCAGTGCATCATTTGTTAGACATGCATTTCTTTTTGAATGCTTTTTTGCTATTCTGTCTCTCAGTGTTACAATACACCTACCATTCGATATTTAGACTGATCATTTCTTTTTGAGTGGGCAAACGTTCAAAATCAGCAAGGGATCAAATCAATCTCTCTCTGTCTCTCTCTCTCTCTATATATATATATAGAATAATATAGATAGATAAATAGATAGATAAATAAATAGATAGAGATATAGATAGAGATATATAGAGAGAGACACAGACAGGAGCGAAGGTAGGCACTTCTATACTTACTGTATGTAATATTATTTGCTTGGTTGTATGCAAAATGTAAAGCCAGCTCAAGTCATGTTGAAAGGATATAAGCACTTATCCTTTCTTGCCACTTTCCCCAACCTAATCAAACCCACCCTCCTCTCACCAAATGCACACCTACCTCAAGCCAACAGTTGCAACTTCGCTGTTTGTTTGCATCCAGTGATAAAAGTATTCACAGTCCAGTCCAGGCCATGCATTACAATCCCATATCCTGCGATTGCCCAAATCCAGAGGAAGAGCAGCAAAAAAAAAAAAAAAAAAAAAAAAAAAAAAAAAAAAAAAAAAAAAAAGACTATATGCATCTTTTAATCTGTTCTCCTTCCAGTTTGCATGTTAATTCCCTTCTGCTAGCAGAAGCCAGCCCTTTAGGGAATTATAGCACTGGAGGTTGATAGGTGGTCTCCTGATCAAGTGATCGCTGTGATTGAATGAGCTCCCAATTGGAAACACTGACTGGGAACTGTCAGCAACAGCACAAAAGCCACCAGCTGTATGCAAATGTGACCACATAGGGTTAAAACGCACTGCCATGCTGTCACATATGCGTAAAGCCAGCAGGAAGGGGTTAAGATAGCACTAGATAGTTCATTTGTGGGCGAATATACCGGAACGCTCTCATTTGTCCAGGTCATAGTATATGTAATAGTTCAGCTGGACTTGTTCTGTAATGAAGACATGTCACAGCTTATCAGCTCACTTCTTCCATTCTAATGTAAGTCACTCATCTGAATTCAAACAGCATAGAATGTATTAAGACAGATGCTGACTGTCCAAGAACAGGATTGAAGGTATGTAGAACTACCCTGTTCTAGTTTTAACAAGGAATACAATTAGCAATCAGAGCAGGATGTTTGAACAAACTTTGATACTTCCCATCCTGTTCTTGGACAGTCAACATCTGCTGCAACACATTCCATGACGACTGGATTAAGAGGTTTGTGCTACCTGTATAAATGCTTCAGTGGGGGTTATTTACTAAAGCTGGAGAGTGCAAAATCTGGTGAAGCTCTGCAGAGACGCCAATCAGCTTTCAGGTTTTGTCAAACCTTAACTGAACAAGCTGAAGTTAAAAGCAGATTGGCTACCATGCAGAGCTGGACCAGTTTTAGTAAATATCCCCAACTATGTTCCTCTCACCCATTAAAACTGAAGCAACTTGCATAAGCAGTGAAACATTTTCAACATTACAGAACAAGTCCAGGTGAATGTGATCCACTACTAGCTATTGAGTGAGGGGTGGGGTTGAGCTGCACTTGTGTGTGAACACACAGAGCAGTGGCTCAGGAGCAAGCCTATTCCTAAGAGGGCACTCGGCAGGAGGGAGGGGCCAAGAGCACCAGCGGGGAACCAAAGAAGAGGAAGATAGGGGTTACTCTGTGCAAATCGACTACAAAGATCTGGTAATTATAACAAGTGGTAACGGTGTTTCTGGGAAATCTTCCAGGATGGCACACAAGAGATGACTAGTTCCACCTGACAGGAAACAATCAAAATTTTCCTCCCCTCCGCAGTTTATGCAAAAGTATTCCCACACCCAGGTGCACGAAAGGTATTTTACCCAAATTCAATCAACACCAGATATGGGTGGGAAGCAGGCCCGCCGTCCTGGAAGATTTCCCAGAAACACAGTTACCGATATGGCTTGTCCATATGGCTACTTGGCAGATCTGTTCGATCGATACTCCGGCCCTCTCCACCCAAGAGGTCGCCAATGATCTATTGGAGTGAACCCTCAGGTGTAAAGGAACGGAGACCCCCAATTGCTCATAAGCGAAGGAAATCTTGTCTCTAATCCATCTGGCTATTGTTGGTTTAGAAGCTTGCTGACCCTTCCTCGGACCACTAAACGAAATCAAAAAGGTGACTACTTCCTGAAGTCACTTACTCTAAATATGTCAGCAAACATCTACTGGCATCTATAAAATGAAACCTGCAAGAGGAGATCCTTCCTAACTGGAAGACATGGCAGGGGAGCCATGGACCACCTCTTCAACGTGGCAAACCAGGCTCTTCTTGGGCACCACGGGGCTAATAAGATCAATCTGCAACTGGACCGGCTCAACTTTTGTAGCACTCACGGAATGAATGCCAGAGGGGGGGGAATGCATATGCCAGCCCGAAGCCCCGTTCCTGCACTAATGTGTCCAGACCCTCGGGCCCTTGTTCCCAGGACATGGAAAAATAATGCCTCACTTTTCTGTTTTTTCTGCAGGCAAAAAGGTCTATTTCCAGGTTGCCAAAAACCCAACTTAACTGAAAAAAGACCTCAGAAATTGAGTTCCCACTCTCCCTGGTGGATTAACTATCAGCTGAGAAAGTCTGTTTTTGTGTTGTCAGTAACCTTTGTGTGGACCACAGATACTGAAAGGACTCTGCTTTCTGCCCAACCTAGAATCTCCTGAGCAAGGTGCAGGAGTTTTTGGGATCCGGTGCCCCCCGATGATGCAGGTATGCTACCGTCAACGTATTGTCGGACAGAATTTGGGCTTCCTTTCCCATGATCTTGTCCTCTAAAGACTCAAGGCTGGACCTACTGCCAACACCACCCTGTAATTGGAGGAAGTCTCCCTTAAGTGTGGCTCCCACGGGCCCTGAGCTTGTCTGTCTTCTAGATGAGCTCCCCAGCCCCACTGGCTTGCGTCCGAGGTTACCCGCACTGCGCCCACGGTCATCTTACCCCCAGGGTTTACCCCATGACAAAAGTGCATGAACAAGGACAGTCATAGCATGATCACAAGGGATTATTTAAATGGAAGGAATAGGTATAATTACGTAAAGTCCGGTCCTCCTTCCAAACTACACTAAGAAAAAAAAAAAAAAAAAAAAAAAAACACAAAAAACACAACTTTGAAGAAGCAAACCTGTGGTGTGAAGAAATGAAGATAAAGGCTTCTAATTCCACACTCTGGGTACAGCATGCTAAAGACAAGGCCATTAAAAGATTTCCAGCCAAAGCTTATTTAGACATGTCTCTTCTGGGTCACAGGAATGCACTTCAGCTCTTCTGTGACCCAGAATCAGCCAACAGAGGCCGCAGAGCCACTTCAGGCTCTGGAAGGATCCTAACAAAAGCGCTTGAAAGCCGGAGCCAGGCACTGCCACCCCTGCTGCTCAGCCTGATGCTCCAGTGAGTGGCGACTGCCAGTCCCCACTCTCTGCTCAGAGACAGAGAACTGAAATCAGTGGTCATGTGAATCGCTCAGTTCTCAGGCTTAGAGCCAACGGGAGACAGCTGCAGTATCAGACTGATGCTGCAGCATGGAGGAATGTGTGTTTTTTCTATATTCCTACACTTCACCGATAAATAATTTGTAGTTAGCCCAAATGGATTAATTGCTGCCCTGAAAAAACAATGAGGCATAGGAGTGGGTCACATCTTGCAGCTAAAGCTTATCACACAGTGTGAAAAAGGCTACTGCCTATATCTTTCTTATATTACAGTTTGTTTGCTATGAAATGACAGGTGCACATCAAGTTAACATGTTTTCAAATGTTAAAAAGGAATCGGATTATATAGTGCAAAATAAAAGCTTTAGACAGAATATGAAAACATTACTTTATAGTGTTGTTAAAGCAGAGGGGAAAATAACGTAATCTGAGTTCTTTAAAATAAAATTAAAATAAAAATAAGAATATGACAAGGACCAGCAAATTAATAAACCAGGAAGAAAAAAAAAAAAAGTTAAATGGCCAAGGGAAGTCATTCTAGCTGAGATGACAAATGTTCATCTTGGAAAGGGGGCGACAACCTGACTAAAAAGTGTAAATCACCGATAAGTTCATATTCAAAATATATAAAATATATCATGCTCCCTTAAATTAAGGGCTCTTGCAAAGAAACTTGTAATACGAAAAGTAACAAGTTCCAAATTTTTTAAAGTCCTCTGTAGAAAATCATGCCAAACACTGTACAGTCCGAAAATAAAGGGGCTTCGGGCTCTGGAGAGGCAGGGGTCCTACACACTAGAGGTCTAGCCTGCCAAGTGCTCAGTTATCTTTCTCCGACTGTAGCGATGCGGTGGCCAGGGCTACGGCTGTGACTGGCTGTGCTATGCCATGTAACTGCAGCTTGGCCATTTTCTTTTGCTCGCACTCTGACACCAAGCGGCTCAGCTCGGCTGCACTGTAACCAATCAGAGTCTTCAGATCGCACACAAATTTGTAGACAAATCTCTTCCCTTGAACTTTACAGATCATGTCACCGTCATAGTAATATCTGTGAGGAGGTAAACAAACAGCCAAATTAACAAAAACAGTTTTCATAAGCAATTACTCTTTCAAACAATTACACAAAATAAAAACTAAGTTGCTGCTAAATGGAAAAGATGAAGATGTGATAACCAGCCAATATATATCCCAAAAAATAAATAAATTCAGTTCAATGTGAAATGGTACACGAAAACTGCAACACAAGACCTACATTAAAAGAAAACTAATCTTTCTTTTTATTTATTTATTTTTTTAACTATTTATCTTTAACATTATTTTGCTACATTTATTAACCACTTACCCTCCAAAAGATTTACCCCCTTTTCCTGACCAGGCCATTTTTTGCAATATGGCGCTGCGTTATTTTAACTGACAATTGCGTGGTCATGCAATGCTGTACAGAAATGAAATTTATGTCATTTTTTTCTCCCAATAAATCAAGCTTTCTTTTGGTGGTATTTATCACCTCTGCAGTTTTTCACTTTGTGTTATAAACAAAAAAAAGACCAACAATTTTGGAAAAAAAAAAAAACCCAAAAAGATTTTCTACTGTAAAAACATTCAAAATTAATTTTTTTATATAAAAATCAGATTTCATAAATTTAGGCCAAAATGCATTTCACTACATATCTGTGGTAAAAAAAAAAAAAATCCCAATAAGTGCATATTGATTAGTTTGCGCAAAAGTTATAGTGTCTACAAATTATGGGACATATACTGGAATTTTTTTATACTAGTAATGGCAGTGATTAGCAACTTGGGACTGCGCTATGGCAGCAGACATTTTTACACTGACACTTTGTGAGAACTAGTGACACCAATACAGTGACCAGTTCTAAATATGCACTGATCACTGTACTAATTAATGACACTGGTTAGGAAGGGGTTAAAATCTAGGGTGATCAAAGGGTTAACTGTGTGCCTAGCTTTGTGCACACTAGGTGGTGCTGTTACTAAGGGAAGTGAAGGATCCTGTTTCCAGCTTTGCAGGGACACATGATCTTTCACTACCCTCCCTGTCAGAACAGAACACCACCTTGTTTACATAGGCAGAGCTCTGTTCTTTGTCCTGCCTGACGATTGGCAGACGCAGATCGGGTTCTGCTGTGAGTGTTCATAGCAAAAAACGAGCCGCCAGCAGCACGCACCCCCTATGGCAGAAGTGCAAACAGACGTATATATACACACACACACACACACACACACACACACACACACACACACACACACGTGATTGTACTGCTACAGGGTGGCCCTTCTGTGCGCAACTGCTATAGGGCAGTTTTAAAATGGTTAAAAAAAAAACAAACAAAAAAACAAAAACCTTTCCCCTGACAATGTCATAATTTGATAGTACGCAGCGCACATTATAAGCACATTATGAAAGACTTTACTTAAATTGCTGTCATCGCGGTGTGTTTTTTTTTTTTTACTAGGGAAACATGCTGCTGTGTATTCCTCTGCTGTGCAGAGAAATACAAAGGAGCACGTTATTGCTGGCAGGAGAGAGACCCGTGTTTGCGATCGCCAAGTAACACTTGACGGGAGAGACCTGTGTGCAGAGTGCCAGAGGGGAATTTCCATCTGGGACCTGGTGATTGACATCTGTAGCCCTCAACGGTGGCGTGGGTGGGGCGGTGCACCCGCCCCCTACCCAGAAATGCAAATCACGTATACACACGATTTTGCACAGCCCTGCCGCCCTGTAGCAGTACATCTGCTACAGGCCGGCAAGGAAGCAGTTACAGACACATAAACCTAAGCCAAAACATTCATTTAGAAATTACATTTTATTTATTCCTATACACAGCAGCTGAGCTGCAGTGTGGCGATTGGTGGTGACAAGAGTTTAGGTGCATTCTGTAAAAAAAAAAAAAAAAAACAAATATGCAGGATGACTGCATTTTTATGCAACATACTGCAACCCACCTATGGCAGTAGTTTAGTGTTGAGCCTGTGTTCATCTATGTAGACCAATGCAGCTCAGCTGAACTGGTGTGAATAAGCCCTGGCATTAGCTTTCCAATTTTTCCAATCACCTACCGGGTAGATGAGATGGTTCTATGTAGATTATCAAGGGTATGAACAGACCTCTAACGTCTTCCCATACTACAACCCCTGGCAAAAAAATATGGAAGCACCACTCTTAGAAAATGTTCATTCAATTGTTTGTGTAGAAAAAAAAAAAACGAATCATAACCATGCCTCGATACTATTTTCATTTAACAGTCCAACCTTCTGGCTTTAAACACTTACAAAAACAAAAACGAAAGGAAACTGCAGTCAGTTGTAAATGTTTTTGCAGATCAAGCAGAGGAAAAAAATATGGAATCACTCAAAGGAAAAGATTATGGAATCATCAAAAAAAAAAAAAAACACTACAGTGCACCACTAGTACTTTGTTGCACCACCTATGGCTTTTAGAATGGCTTGAATTCTCTGAGGCATGGATTTAACTATTGACAAACCGTATTCCTCATCAATCCGGCTCTAACATTTGCTTAATGCAGTTGCCAGGTCAGCTTTGCAGGTTGGAGCCTTGTCATGGACCATTTTCTTTAATTTCCAGCATGGAATTTCCGTTGGATTGAGATGCGGACTTTTTGCAGGCTGTGCCATTGACATTATGGCCCTGATTTACTAAGAACTGAGTCTACCAGCAGATGCTGAACATTCAGGCAGACTCAATTTGATCAATCTAGACCTGTCAGTCATCAGAAAGGCATCTAGCAAGCTCATTGAAAAGAGTCTACTTTGTAGACTCTTTCCTGTTAGTAAATCCGGAATCACGTCAGGCACATTTCTAGATGCAATGCTGGATATGTTCGCTAGGTGGCGCACAACCGCAGGCTTTGTCCTGTTGGCGTTTTTCTGTTTGCATATGAGAATACTTTAGAATTTAAAATAAAAAGCACACCTATATTAAAATATTTTTTTTTTTTGGTTGCGTTTCTCCAAAAATGATCGGACAACGAATGCATTTCCTAATGAATGTCATACATTCTATTTTCAAATGTCAAACATTTTCACACATATCTCAAATAATTCGGAATGCCTAGTTCTAATTTCCCAATATAAATTTAGATCTTCATTCTATGTTAAAGTACCTACCCGTCCTCAGTGGCACACCAATAGGACGAGTTGGTACACGAAATGCATTGGGTGGAGCCCTATTGCTGATGCCATCTTGGTACTCACTTTGCTAATATTTTTATTACTCCACGTGAATATTTTAAATTGTTACTCGTGACCATTATAATAAAGTACTACACTATTAAGCACCTTTCTGGCTCCTGTGGCTGAGCCAATTCCTCCCCAGGACCATTTTGGTACCCACCCGGATGGATGGATGATGGATGGAGCTGGATGACTAAGCCATAGCTGCCAGCATACTGCTGCACCCCCAGATGTGTGATGTGTATAACCCATGCGCATTAATACTTTTGTTCTGGTGAGTGTACACCCGTCCCAAGGTGGATTACCTTTCACGAATTCCTGCACTACTGTCCGTCACGGATAAACGACACGTGCCATTCATAGGCACTCTCTGAGTTGGTACTCAGACACAAAGGACATTCCATTATTCAGGAACGATATGAACTTTTTTTAACACCATTTACCAGTTTACATCATTATTGCACTTATTTGCACTTTTTGGATTTTACAAGCGTTTATGATTGATAACATGCATTTATAGCGCTGCACTATTACTTTAACATATTTCTATTCTGGGGACTGTTGTCAATACCCTGAGTGCTAGCTGCTACCTTCATATCTATACCGATATTTATATTTATCTAGTGTAATACCATTTTAGTAGTCTATCACTTTACCAGCACTCACTTTATCATTTTTAAACAATGTAACTATTCTGCATTGCAGCTCAAACACTCTCCTACAGTGGCTTCGGGGGGGGGAGATAATGCCCCAGCATCAGTGGGCATAAACAATGCCCCATCACTGGTTACACAGGGAGGCCCCACTGTTAGTATCAATGGGAGGAATAGCATTGATATTGATGGTGTCGGGAGGAATGGTGTCCCATTGTTGATGTCAATTGATGAAATCGTGCTCCAAGGGCCAGATTAAGGGCTAGCAAAGGGCCACAGTTTGGAGACTACTGATCTAGTGTGTGCCCAGTATTCTTTAAAAGTCCTCAGATGTGCAGGTATTGGTACTTGCTGTCATTGGACAGCTAGAGTTCTGGTCTGTGCATTAGAGCTACCTACAGCAGTTATTACACTGCTGATCTGCAAAAGTATCTTTCTTCTCAGAGTTTGAGAAAATGTAAGGACATACTGAGACATGTATCAATTTTGTTGCTGTCAGATGAACCAAAATTTAACTGATACAGATAAAAAGTTATCACTGGCCGAACCGGAAATCATTTTGTCTTTAAAGTATAGGAAATTAAGAACAATTTCAAAGATAACACTAAAAGAAAGCTCGGTTTGCAAAAAAAGCCACACAAAATATGCCCCATTTCTATATCTTACCCCCTTCGTGATGGAAGGTAAGACAAATGTTAATGCCTGAACACAATTTTGCAACTCTGACATGCATTAATAAAACCGTACATATCACAAATACTTTGTGTATCCAGGTGGATTATACCTTTTTTTTTTTTTTTTTTAAAGGACAAATTGGGCTCTCTTTAATTGTAAAAGGTTATGGATATCTCCTGATTTTTTTTTTTATTATATATTATTAAAATAAAAGGCCTGGGACAGCGCTACATATAATAATAATAATATAGTCCTCATATGTGTGCCAATAAGCGCTGTAAATTCGGGACAACACCTCATATGAAAGTCCTTTTCAAAATCCATATATTATAATCAATCCCATCTAAGTACACTAAACTAATTTTTTTATAACACCACTTGTGAGATTATTTATATAGTATTATCAAAGGAAAAATTTACCACCAAAAAAATAACCCAAAACAAATTCTCCAGCTCCCGATTGCGTTGATACCACATACAGTATGTGTATGTTATTTGTGGTTTGTACCCGTAGTACAGGCCAGAAACAATAATGCGCATTTTACTTTGTTCAGTGACAGCGGATTTCATTTGCCAAGCAGGGAATGAAAAAAAGCAGCACACTTAAAAAGCTTTTTAGGCACACAATTAACCCCTTGATCTCCCTAGATATTAACCCATTCCTGGCCAGTGTCATTAGTACAGTGACAGTGCATATTATCAGCACTGATCACTAGTAATGTCACTGTTGATGTCAGTGGCAATTAGTTCCCTCCAGCATCAGTGTCAGATTGCCGCCCCACTATTGCAGTCCGGTTATAAACTAAAAAAAAAAAAAAAAAAAAAAAAAAAAAAAAAAAAAAAGGGAGGTGATCAAATACTACCAAAAGAAACCCCTAGTTGAGTGAAAAAATGCTATACGTTCAGTTCAAGTGCTGCATTGTATGACCACACAAGTTAAAGTAGCAATACTGTATAGCAAGAAATGGCCTGGTAAGGAAGGGGGTAAAACCTTAGTGAGGGCATATGGTTAATTTTTTTTTTTTTCTTTAAACACGCTTATTTACATCTTTCCTCCCTGCAAGGAGAGAAAGATACAATGTATCTTTCTCTAAATTCAGAGAGAAAGAAAACACATGGGTGAGCTGCACAGTGACAGATCACTGTAATAGCCAATCAGAGGCTATCGCAGCGATCAGGTGATCCAGAACCAAGACCTGTGTCCCACTAGTTAGTATGAGACATGGGATTCCTGGTGAGAGCCCAATCTCTGTGCTGAGAGCATGCTGTGTGGCACACTCCCAGGACAAATATAGGTATGCAGATATGAGGCCTCACAGATAACAGCCCACTTCCGTTAAGTCCACATACCATCGACGGGAAAGGTTTAAGTAATAAAGTTTTGATGGATAGGCCTATAGTGCAACATGAAAATAGCTCTGAATTAAAGAACTCCAGAACTGTAAAACCCCTGAGCAGGGGTGAAGTGTAATGATATACTTACACTAAACTACACCCAAAGATCTTTAGCAGAAAAGTCATGTCATGCTTCTCCCGTCTGCTATCCTCTTTGCAGCTGGACACAATCAGGTATCAGCATCACATAGGTCTATCTGGATTTTCCTAACTGCTGGTACTGGGGTCTGAATTTTACATACTTCACCTAAATTCTTATTTTCCATGTTATAGTTAGCTCTGGAAAAGATAAAAAGAAAGAAATGCTTACCGAAGTGCACGGCTCAGCTTCTCATAGTTCATGGTGGGCTTATTTTTGCGCTGACCCCACTTTTGAGCAACAAGCTCTGGCTGGTTTAATTTGAACTCCCCTTCATCTCCTACCCATGAGATACAGTCTCTGGCATCTTTGTCAGTGAGAAGCTCCAGAAGGAACTGCCACAGCTGGATCTGACCATTGTTACCTACAGACAGAAAGTGATGAGGTGGGATTAACAAAGACACACTAGCTATTCACGGTAGATAAATATCAGTACAGGCAATTTCCAGCCATTTCTGTGCCATCTATAACCCTTTCCTCTTCCTCATGTTGGAAGCAGGTTGAGAAAAATCCATAAAGCATGCCGATAAGGTGAACTTACACTTGCAATCGGGAGTTTTATGGACTTCCCTTTGCAAGAGCATCTCCAGAAAAGGAGCAAAGAAACCATATTGAGGAAAAAAATATCCAACAGCTGACAAAGAATTAACCAGCACAGGATTGTTGCCTTTTTCAGCATGGTGATGGGTTTTCTACAAAAGTTCACTTCCTTGCATTTACAGACTATCACAGGAGTAGGACAGGCATTAACAGATAACTCAAGAAATATAAAAGTAAACAAGCTTCCGTTTAGATACATTTATCACTTAGTTTACATACATTTATCACTCCTTTGTGATGAAATCAAGTCAAGCATATATGGAATACACACCAGCAATGGAAACTGGCATAAGAGTATACTAGGTACCTGTCCTGTTACCAGGAGAACTTCTGTCTTCTCCAGATATGCGGGGTGCCCGCTGCACTTTGGCCACTTTGGTTTGAGTGTTTATGACTTTAATCGTCGTCGTGGGAGTTGTATTTGCAAGGGATCCTGGGATTATCTGTACAGCTGTAAGAGAACATGATTGTTAAACAAGCCTTCTGTCTTGTATAAGCACAAATACAATTATGTCACTTGAAGACCCTTCCATTTGGCACATTATGCAATAAAATCTCAGATTAGGAAAAATGTGCAATAATATTTAATACTGTCTTATTGACTTACGTTGATCAATGGTAACTGTAGCAATTTCTCCCCCATGTTCTTGGCTAGCCAACACATCTGGAGAACAAAATATATATATATATAAAAAAAAAAAAATAAAAAACTCATTACATGCAGTATTCCTTACAAAAAATAAAAAATAATGGCTGATAGATCAAGTAAATCAACTATGGAAAATCTTAACTAGTGTGTGGCCAGCTTTGAAAGTCCAACCACTGGAAGAGCCCTTTAACTGCAGCTCTTGGTTTAAATTGAACTTATGTTCACATAACCAGAGGACTACAATTTCTCCTAAAATTGCTGGTAGCGTGCCATCAAAGTAGTGTGATTGTTTCAGGCACATTGCTCAAAATATTAAAGTCAATGTTATGGAATAGCACCCAAGCAATTCGCACAACGTAAAGCTGTCATTATCTAAAACAATTCTTATCAGGATCTTAATGCAGCATTTCCGTTGTTATATTTACCTTTTCAGTGGCCTCCTCCCTTCCCTCTATTCCAGTGCTGCAGTTATCGCCAGACACTTGAGTATTCAACCCTTCCTATAGCCCCCACCAAAATATAGTCTCATCCTCCAACTATGTCTACAGGTGAAACTCGAAAAATTAGAATATCGTGCAAAAGTTCATTTATTTCAGTAATGCAACTTAAAAGGTGAAACCAAGATGAAACTAATCCTTGTTTTATTGATTGCATGTAATCTAATTTTCTGAGATTGTGGATTTGGGGTTTTCATGAGCTGTAAGCCATAATCATCACAATTATGACAAATCACGGCTTTAACTATCTTGCCTTGCATGTAATGAGTTTATCTCATATATTAGTTTCACCTTTTAAGTTGCATTACTGAAATAAATGAACTTTTGCACGATATTCTAATTTTTCGACTTTCACCTGTATATAGGGCACAGCAATTAAAGTGGTTGCGAACCCTTACATATACCCAGTGAAGTGACTGGCCTCACATGATGCACAGAGATTAAACAAATCCTCCTACAAAAGTTGTACCTGTCTATTTGCAGTATTCTCTACATTGATTTAAATGCTTAATAAAGCTTGTCTGAGGGTTCAGGGAAAAAAAAAGGGGGGGCGGGGAGCTGAGATTACACACTGCAGAGCTCAGTGAGGAAAGCTCCGAGAGCTGATAGGAGGGAAGGGACACCTCCAACCCCCTTCACACAGAAACAGAGCTGAGGCTGTTAATCAACTGGAGATCCCTCCCATCACCATTTTTCTTTTAGAGTCAGGAAAACTTGTCGTCAGAAGTGACTAGTGCTTATAGCAGAGGAACGAAGCAGCAAACAGATATGATACTTAGCACTCGTAATTGAGAAATACACACTATAGAGGGATATGCTTTGTTCATATTTCATGTCTGTAGTTTACAACCACTTTCATGTAAGGCCAGAGGAGGGAGCCAAAAGGTATCCAATACTCCTGGAAATACTGCATGCAGTAAAGTCCATAGGAAGCTGCAGTGCCAAAACTGAGAAAAGGTAGGACCATATGAGCTGCCAGAGGACAGTATAAGAACAGCCCTTCTACAATATACTGCTAAACAATGCACGGTGCATGCTAGGAATATTGTGATTTTAATTGTAATCTTCATAAAGTAGGTTATATTGTTACTCTTATTGTAGGTCTTGCAGATACATAGTCCTTTTGTAATGTGCCTTTCAGGTTAAGTGGTAAAAATGTTCTGCCAAGCTTGACTGTTTAACCTAGACTGTAGGTGCTTTCCTGACAGTCTTATTCAAATGGAGCAGAAATTTTTTTTATTCAAAAGTATATTCAGCTTATGAGCTTTGCTGGGCGATTGGGGGTAGATTTGCAGGATAAAATGAGAGCATTACCTCCATTAAGAAAAAGATACAATATAGTGAAATTATTGCTTTTATAGCACCCTTCAGGTTAAGAATACCTTTGATTTTTATATGCAAGCTTCCCAACTACTCATATACATTAACAGAATTCAGTAGACTTCTGGAAGTTTTTCTTACATTTCCTGAGCAGCTCTAGATGACTCCACAGAATCTCTCCTCTGGGAACTCTCTGAAAGAAATCTTCCTGGCTAATTTGACACAACTCCCTCCCAGGAATACTAAGGGCGTTCACATTGATATCCGATATACCAAACTCCTTCAATACCCATAGGACCCAATGCAGGACCTGGTCTGTAGACCACTGAACTGGATCTGTAAAAAATTGAACAAAAAAGGTCAATACCGAGGTTAAAGCAGAACTTAATCCAACTGTTTCCCAAAAGAATCTCAAGTAATAAAGGTTATTTAAAGCTTAAAGCCCAACTCCAGGCACTCCCCCCCCCCCCCCCCCCCCCCCCCATGCAGTTGGGCTGTGCCCATGCTGCAAGGGTCAACTGCTCGTTTTTTCTAGGGGTGAGCACAAAGCTTAAATTCACATGAGCGTGCGATCCCCTGGAAAACCGGGCACCCCCACGGTCCAAGGGTGGACTGTTCCTGTCTATGGAGCCTGTTCTGGGCCTGATGATGTCAGGAGCAGTCCATTTTCAAGACCGCTGGAGCACACGGGGGGGGGGGAAGGCAGACCTGTCTTGTGCAGGGAGAATCAGGAAAGTACATCTCCGCTGCCCTCTCCCCTAGAATAAAATGAGCAGTTAACCCATGCAGTGTGGGCAAAGCCCACCTACAAAGAGAAAAAAAAAATGTCCAGAGTTCAGCTTTCATCATAGAAATGTTTTCTGCAGTGTTTTAATTTGCATTCTGCCAACTAGCGTGTGCATAGCGTATTCTACATTCAAGGCACACCACTGGTTTTGATATCTGTCACAGATGCCAGTGTGCCTTTAGTCAGCTCTTTTTTCAAACCCTCAAATGTGTCGTGTCATAGCTTGTCACATTTACTGCACTATGGCAACAGCAGATCTAAAAAGCGTATAAGATGTCAAAACCAACTTTATGCACAAGGTTTAAAAAATTAGGACTAAAATAACAAGCCACCACAAATACGAGCTGGTGATCAAAAGGGTCTGTCATAAAATTAAGGCTGATACCAAGTTCCCATTTCTCTTAATAGCAACATTCACATGAACATATTAACTGCAATAAATCTAAAAGGTGAAATAAATACCATTAGAATACACAGTTCTTCTCAGCCCTCATTTCAAATGAGCAAGCTAACCAACTGACAAATAGGAAAGCCCACTGCCTAGCATTGGTGTAAATGCAAGGAATTTGATAAACAGGCCAGTTTATTCTGACATGAAAGAGTAGTCAAAAGACAGGACAGGATACCAGTCTGCAGTTAATGGCTTTTCACAGTATAGTCTTGCAGCCAGCAATGGAGAGATAGGATAAAGATCCCCCTCCCTCCCTCCCCCCCCCCCCCCAAATGAAATGGTATCAAAGAACTAGAATGGTGTTTAAATACACACACACGAAAAAAAAAAAAAAAAAAAGAAGACCTTTCCTTGTATACGAATACACTGCAAACGTTAACCAGTATCTGATCAAAAGCATTGCATGCAACATACTTTACAGTCCTTACCATAAGGTATGCCTAAGCGTTCTTGTTCCTTTCTGTAGCCCTCCAATGCTGCTGCCCATCGCGTCACCTGTTCAGAGGTCTCATCAGAAATAGTGACATGCTTTGTATCATCTAGGGTGATCACCTGAGCTTCCTCTACAATCTGGGCTTCAACTGCACCATGATGGGCGTCGGGGTCAATGACCACCTCCACAGTCTCTACTGGCTTTACAATCTCTAGTATGTTCAGCCTTGGCTCAAGTCCTGAAATAGACACAAAGAACAAACTTTACTAAAACAAAACCATTGTACCATCTCAAAAAGGTATTTTTGTACAGTATGCTAGGTGAGCCTGTCAGATGTAGAGCAAGATCAGTCACACTCATCTGGCAAGCAAAGTCATAATTTCAGCAATCCTAAACCAGTGAAACGCTCTATATTATGCTAGTGTGTGTGCTGCAAGACCTAACTATACATGCATGTGCACATACCGCTTTTGCCTAGTCCCCCTGCAAAGTCTCAGAAATACCTGTTAAGCCCATCAGTTACGTCCCTACTGCAGGTTCCTGTGGCAATGATGTTGCACTGCTCCTGAGTTCAGAGCAGAGCTGCCCCACATATAGACTGTGCCAGCTTGCAATACAGTTAGATGAGATGTTGGGTGGGGAGGGGGCTTGGCTATCCGCATTATCACTACTTACTGACAAATCTGTATCTTGTCAATCAGCACCTGACCACACCTAGTCCTTCCCATTGCTTTGTAGATTGACATCTCTGTATTTGCTGCTGAAAATTATACAAAAGAGGATTTGGCTCACCTAATGGATTAAGTTTTTTTTTCTTTTTAATTTATGAGACTATTTTATCACACAACTGCATTTGAAACCTGTTGAATGATGGTCACACAGGAGCCCTTTTGGCGTACTTAAATATTACACATTTTACTAAAACAGATTCTTATGTTTCTGCATGCAGCTCAATATTAAAAGTACAACTAAAGGCAAACATCTCTCCCCCCCCCCCCCCCCATGTTGGACAGAATAATAGTTTTTTTGTCATCTGCGTACCAATGGGGAGATTTCCCTTCAATTCCTGTCCAATAGTCAAAATAGGAAGGGAGAGGAAATTCCTCCAAAGTGAGGGAATCTCTTGTTACTAGAATTAGCGTCCTCTATGGAAGATTTATCTGTTTCTGGTGACAATCCAAAATTTGGGATTTTTCTTTTCACTCCTGGTGATAATAGCAAACAGGACACCAACAGCAATAACAAAAACTGACAGGTGTTCAAATCCATCACCACCCCATCCAAAATGTAAAAAAAAAAAAAAAAGTTTTGCCTTAAGTTATATGTTAAAGGAAAATAGCAAAGGACTCTGACATTAGCTTTACTATTCCAACATGTCACACAAAAGCACACATATAGTACTGTGCAAAAGTTATACGCAGGTGTGAAGAAATGCTGTCATGTACATAATTATTTATCAATTTACAAAATGCAAAGAGTGAAGAAAACTCTAAATAAAAACAATTTGGTGCGACTATCCTTTGGCTTCAAACCAATATGAATTCAATTCATCAAGCTCTTTTAAAGAAGCACAAAAAACAGGCAATGTTGAGGACCATAGACTCAGTGGTTGACCAAGAAAACTTAATGCAGCAGAAGAAGACATGCTTATTTCCCTTCCAAATTTGGAAAGGTCCAACAGTGCCCATCAGCACAGAACTGGCAGAAACCAGTGGGACCCAGGTACACACATTCACTGTCTGGAGAAGTCTGGCCTGAAGGGGTCTTCATGGAAGAATTGAGGCCAAAAAGCCATACCTCCAATGTGGAAACAAGGCTAACTGACTCAATGCATGAAAACATTGGAACTGGGGTGCATAAAAATGGCAGATGGTGCTCTGGACTCATGAGTCAAAATTTTAAATATTTGGCTGTAGAAGGAAGCAGTTTGCCAAACGACAGGAAAGCGGTACAATAATGAGTGTCTGCAGGCAACAATGAAACATGGTGGAGGTTCCCTGCAAGTTTGGGGCTGCATTTCTGCAAATGGAGTTTGACATTTAGTCAGGATCAATGGTGTCCTCAATTCTGAGAGATACAGGCAGATACTTACCCGTCACGCCATACCATTAGGGAACTGTGTGATTTGCCCCACATTTATTCTGCAACAGTCCAATAACCCCAAGCATACAGCCAATGTCACTAAGAACCACCTGCAGCGTAAAGAAGAACAAGGAGTCCTGGAAGTGATGGTGTGGCCCCAACAGAGTCCGTCTGGGATTACATGAAGAGAATTAACAATTTGAGGCAGCCTACATCCACAGAAGATCTGTGATTAGTTTCTCCAAGATGTTTGCGACAACCTACCTACAGAGTTCTTTCACAAACTGAGTGCAAGTGCACCTAGAAGAATTGATGCTGTTTTGAGGGCAAAGAGTGGTCATACCAAATGTTAATTTGAATTTCTCTCCAGTTCATTTACTTTCCATTTTGTTAATTGATAAAAATAAACTATTGACACTTCTTTTCTGAAAGCATTCTTACTTTGCAGCATTTTTTCACAGCTGCTTAAAACTTTTGCACAGTAGTGTATATGATTTCCTTGTATTTAGAAATTTTAAAACAGATATTTTCTTGTAAATATCTGTGGCTGCACTATATGCAAAACTCTACCTGAGGAAAAATACAGAGAAAAGGCTTTTCTAATTCTGTCCCCATTTTGAATTAAGATATTAATATATGCATCCATTATTGGGCTACCAAATTAAAGTCCTATAAGTCTAGAAGAATTGTAAGTGGAATTCACCAAGATAGACAAGTTATTTTACCACCACCATTATTTTACTTTACCACCACCTCAAATGGTTTTCTAGTGGGGTTATTTTAAAGGGGTGAAAACCTGTGTGGTAATCTTTGTGAAATTACTTTTTGATTGATCATTTTTATAAGGGCTGTGCAATGCATCTTTGTGAATGGATGTCTGAGAGATAGGAGGTAAAGTGTGGCATCAGGAAAACAACCGAACAGAAGAACTTTGTGAATTGAGCCCCTATGTTAAGTACATTAGATTGGACTACAAAAGTAAAGTGTTATAAGATGTAAAACTAATACAAACCAAGGTTCAGGGACTCAACTGGTAGTGTAAACTTTGTTCTGCACAGTAACATGTAAAACATATCTATACAGTGGATATAAAAAGTCTACACACCCCTGTTAAAATGTCAGGTTTCTGTGATGTAAAAAAAAAAAAAAAAAAAAAAAAATGACAGATCATTTCAGAACTTTTTTCACCTTTAATGTGACCTATAAACTGAACAACTCAACTGAAAAACACTGAATTTTTTTTTTTTTTGGGGGGGAAGGGGGGGGTGTTAAACATAAAAAACTAAAATAATGTGGTTGCATAAGTATGCACACGTTCTTATAACTGGGGGTGAAGCCATGTTCAGGATTAGGCAATCACATTCAAAATCATTTTAAATAGGAGTCAGACACCTGCCATCATTTAAAGTGCCTCAGATTAACCCCAAATAAAGTTCAGCTGTTCTAGTAGGTCTTTCCTGACATTTTCTTAGTCGCATCCTACAGCAAAAACCACGGTCCACAGAGAGCTTCCAAAGCATCAGAGGGATCTCATTGTTAAAAGGTATCAGCCAGGAGAAGGGTACAAAAGAATTTCCAAGGCATTAGATATACCATAGAACACAGTGAAGACAGTCATCATGTGAAATGGAGAAAATATAGCGTAACAGTGACAATACCAAGAACAGGACGTCTCTACAAAAAAAAAAAAAAAAGGCAAGAAGAAAACTGAACTGGGAGGCTGCCAAGAGGCCTACAGCAACATTAAAAGGAGCTGCAGGAATATCTGGCAAGTACTGGCTTTGTGGTACATGTGACAACAATCTCCTGTATTCTTCATATGTCTGGGCTATGGGGTAAAGTGGCAAGCCAGTACACAGCCTTTTCTTAAGAAAAACATCCAAGCTCGGCTAAAGTTTGCAGAAACACATCTAAAGTCTCCCAAAAGCATGTGGAAAAATGTGTCCTGGTCTGATGAAACCAAGGTTGATCTTTTTGGCCATAATTCCAAAATATATGTTTGGCACAAAATCAACACTGCACATCACCAAAAGAACACCATACCCACAGTGAAGCATGGGGGCAGCATCATGCTTTGAGGCTGTTTTTCTTCAGCTGGAAATGGGGCCTTAGTCAAGGTAGAGGGATTCAGGCTTCTGCTAGAAAGCTGAACATGAAGGGGAATTTCATCTTTCAGCAGGACAACAACCCAAAGCATACATCCAAATCAACAAAGGAATGGCTTCACCAAAAGAAGATTAAAGTTTTGGAATGGCCTAGCCAGAGCCCAGACCTGAATCCGACCGACAATCTGTGGGGTGATCTGAAGAGGGCTGTGCACAGGAGATGCCCTCGCAATCTGACAGATTTGGAGTGTTTTTGCAAGGAAGAGTGGGCAAATATTGCCAAGTCAAGATGTGCCATGCTGATAGACTCATACCCACAAAAATCTGTAATAAAATCAAAAGGTGCTTTTATTTTTACTTCCCTCCACCTAAAAGATTTCAGTTTGTTGTTCAACTGAGTTGTACAGTTTATAGTTTTTTTAACAGAAACCAGACATTTTAACAGGGGTGTGTAGACTACTACTGTAAATGTCTAAAGTTTCTATTTAAATAGCATTTTACATATGCTCATTGCTGCCTAATGAAAATCTCTATTAGAGATCACACTGAAGGATCATGAGTGTACCATGAGGAAACTGCTGCCCAATCCACTTTTTTCCAGCTGCACGGTCCACTCTGGACTCATCACCACTCCCCAATAATGCCACCCATTTTGTAGTAAGATGGAGAACGATGCTAGTCTCATGTTATTCTACACTGTGGGGGAAGCTAAAATATTATTTTGTAGGCCAGTGTCTAGATAAAGAGCAGTTATCAATAAATCCTAACATTCACAAAGTTAACTGGCATTGTTTGAGTTCCCCCCCTCTCTCAGTATTGCTCCATGAAAGTCTCCTATCGTACAATGGTGTCAGTAGATTCTGGATGTACCCTGATACTAAGGGACTTGACTGACCCACTGTTGTCATGGATCTATCCAGCTGTATTTTTTTTTTTTTTCATACATCCAAAATGTGGGGATTGCTTTGTACGCTGACAAGAAGATGTTTCACGATCACAGCTTCACAAGTAGGAGGATGATTCCCATTATTACTTTAATCTAATAACAAATACGAACCTTGCTGGGATATAACCTGCACACTAAGCTGTACAGAGCCATCTGTTTTAACTCCTTGATCAAATAAACTTCTTTCCGGATCAAGCTGAAACAGAACAGTTTTCACATAAACAAGCAGTTTAAAATGTACCTGTCACAAAAAATGCTCTGCATACATATTCACATGTCTAGAATAAACAAGTGAATTAAAAGGTGTAGAACAACAAACCTCACCAAGCAACTATCTTTTTCAGTATCTCCTATCTGCCCTTAAAGTGGTTCTAAAGTCAAAACATGTTTTTACCTTAACATTCCCTGCATAAAGTAAAAAATGTCCCACTACTCGTTCCTTCCTCAAACGCTTACCCGAGTCCTATCTCCATCCAGCGCTGTGTCAAGCTGCAGCAACACTGCTTTCTCTCTTCCCACAGGACACACAGGAAGCAGCAGGAGCCATTTGTTCCTGCTGATGTCAATGAAATCCTGTGAGGAGGGAGCAGGGCATGTGGGCAAGCCAGGAGAGCTGGCAAGAGGTAAGGGGCTGTTTTGTGCAATAGCAGATAAATACAACTTTTTTATTTTGGGGGGAGTTAAAAAAAAAAAAAAAAAGTTATTAAAGTCTCTTAAAGTGATCTGATATCATATTGTACACTGTATTAATGACAGTGGATGGGACATTGACAAAAGGTTAATTGAGTGCTTAACAAGTAATGTGTGCTGCTTTTATTCACAGATCTGGCTGTTTTTTTTTTCTCCCTGCTGTTCAGGAAGAACAAACAGCTAGACTGCTAACCTGTGTGCACAGAACTCTGTGCTGTGATTGGATACAGTCAATCAGCAAGGTTCAAGCAAAATCATTAGTCGAAATCTGCTGACAAACTCGTGCTATGTCCAATCACAGCATGGGTGAGCAGGGGGCGCATACCCGATAGAACAGAAGCAGGTGGCAATGTATATGTAGGTTGCCTAGCCTGCAGCTGCCGCCTGCTTGCATCACATGTACTGTGGGCTGACGTCCAGATGTTAAAGAAGAACTCAATCCTTCTATCCTTTACAGCCAAGGAATCTGCCATCTTACCCTCAGTTGCCATGGTGCTGCACACATTATCAGTTATGACACCAGCCATTTGATGGTTTGACAGTCTGGTTGAGAGCACAAGCAACTGACAGTTATTTACAGAATACCTTGAATGAGAGTGTTAAATCGATGGGTTTATTTTCACAATTTATAAACTATCCATAAAGTTATAGCCTCTGTTGGTTTAGCTGAGGAGTACAGAGAGAGGGAAGACATTCTTATCTAAATAGGGAAAGGATTGGGGGGGCATTGCATTACCACAAAGGATTTACTTGTATTTTCACTTTTCCAGCCAAATTGGGATAATCATGAAACCTATTTGCAGGTCGATCAAATTAGAAATTGTAACCTAGATATACACACTGTCTGCCCTAACAAAGGGTTAAACATCTCACTGCATGGGTGGGTACATCCAGTTCCACATTGCAAGCTATGTATAAAACTGCTCCAAAGAAACAACTAGAAAGATAAAAAATGTTTTCAAGTCATTTGTAGACATGCTGTGTAATTAGGAATATATAATAAACCTAGAGTGGGTTTCTAAAATGTGATGGCAAAAATAGAAAACACTTTAAGAGAAAGGTTACAAAATTTTCAGCAAGTGCACATTGGAATACTATAGCATAAGCCCGTGTGAGGGCCATAATTGACCATGTGGGGACTCACAAGTAATCAAGGATCCCTGTGCAGTCAGCTCCATTCATCTTAACTGGGACACAGTTGCTGCTCCCGATTTTACAGCTGTACGTGTACACGGCACGATTGTATGCTGTCTGTACCCAAGTGCCACACAGTTGTCAAATTGAGGGCAGTGGCCGCCACTCTGTCCAAATTGAAATGAATAGGACTGCTTGCACAGGGATACACGAACACCTGCGCATCCCCATGCGGGCAAACAAAGCCCTTGGATGGGCATACTCTAAAGTATGCCCATGGGAATGAAGAATTTAATTAATTATTACAGTGTATGTCTTTGTTCACAGGAAGTGACAAGGATACTGCATTACTGGCAAGACCAAGACCAACTATTTTTCTGCTGAAAATGTTCTTAGCGTATTAGAAAACTAATGCAGCCATCACATCCAAGAATTGGTATGCTGAAATATATTTACATTTTTGCTTTTTTCTTGGGTTTAGATATCCTAGAATGCCAGACTCTTGGCACATCGTTCACTGACGTACTGTGACTCTTAAGACAAAACACAGACTTACAGCTCCAAAAATTACGACTTATACCTGGATGTCTTGTAAGAAGATTTCATGTGCTTCAAGTGAACACTGAAGTCTGGGCTCTAGAAGCTTCTTAAGATTTCCGACTGGCTCATTTATATCAATAGATTGGCTGACAAACTCTGCTGTGGTATATGTCTGCTCTATAATGCTAAAAGAAAAAAGGACAAGAACATGAATTTAGAGTAAAAAGCATACAAAAACAGGAAAAGAGAAAAGCTGCAGGAGATGCAGTCAATATTGCACTTCTACTTGCTGCACTTGCAATGACTTAAATAGTTAAGAATGCTGATTTATTGTAATCTGGAATACCAGATCATAATTAAATACGTTCTCCCAAACACAAACATTACCAGGGTGCCACACTCTCATTGCTGCACTCAGCAATTAATAAAGGCCGATATACAAAACAGCCTTGAGCCCAGTATTTATTGAAAACCCCATTGAAAAATACAGAAAATATGCATTATATGGTGGAGCACTGAAGCGGATACAATCGGTTAAGTGAAGTGTCATCACAAATTTCTCACTGGCAATGTGGACTTCTTTTGTGCATACAAGGTGTTTTCACCGCTCAGATTTCGAAATACCATTGTTAGACACTCATAGAATGTAGAGTTTATTATGAATTATTTTATACACATCACATACTTTGCCATTTGTGAGTGTTCATCTTCACTGATTTATTTAATTGGATAGTGCAACAATTCCTCTTTTGCATATGTTCTGTATTCAAATAGTCCAACCTGCCCTCTTTTTTTTGTTTTATGCACCAAGCGCAGAGTAATTACACACTTAAAGTGATTATTTCGTTTGTTTTTTTTTCTCACTGCTTACGAGATTGCAAACCATTTCAAAAACAAGATTGATGCAATTCGTAGGGGCATCTCTGCTACACAGACATCTATCCCACATAGCATACCTTATACTAAACCTCCCTCAACACTTTCCTCTTTTGACCTTGCTTCTTCTGAAGAGATCTCTAAGGTTTTTCAAAAGCCTGCCTCACCACCTGCCCTCTGGATCCTGTCCCCTCTCAACTACTACGGTCACCCTCTTCTTCTGTCCTATGCTCTCTCACTCACATCTTCAATCTCTCCCTCTCTAAAGGTATCTTCCCCACCGCTCTAAAGCATGCACACATCACTCCCATACTTAAAAAGCCCTCCCTGGACCCCACCAACCTGAGCAACTTAAGACCCATCTCCCTGCTCCCGTTTACCTCTAAACTCCTAGAACGCTTAGTCTACAATAGCCTGAGCTCCTACCTTACTGACAACAACCTTCTTGATCCTTTACAGTTTAGCTTTTGCTCACTACACTCCACTGAAACTGCCCTACTAAAACTCTCTAATGATCTACTAACAGCTAAAACCAATGGCCACTACTCCGTACTCTTACTACTTGACCTCTCCGCATCTTTTGCTACTGTTGACCATCCCCCCCTCCTCAAAAAAATCCACTCTCTTGGCCTCCGAGACTCTGCTCTCTCATGGTTCTTCTCCTACCTATCGCAGTGCTCCTTCAGTGTTACCTATAACTCTGGCTCCTCCTCTTCACTCCCTCTTTCTGTAGGGATCCCTCAAGGTTCTGTCCTTGGACCCCTTCTCTTCTCCATCTACACCTCCTTCCTTGGTCACTTGATAAACTCCCATGGCTTTAACCTCTTCCATACAGGGCACTTTTACCCCCTTCCTGCCCAAGCCAATTTTCAGCGCTCTCACACTTTGAATGACAATTGCGCAGTCATACAACATTGTACCCAAACTAAAATTTTTATCATTTTCTTCACACAACTAGAGCTTTCTTTTGGTGGTAATCACCACTGGGGTTTTTAGTTTCTGCTAAATTAACAAAAAAAAAAAAAAAGACTGAAAATTTTGAAAAAAAAAAACATGTTTTTCTTTGTTTCTGTTATAAAAGTTTGCAAATAAATAATTGTTCTTCATAAATTTAGGCCAAGATGTATTCTACTACATGTCTTTGGTGAAAATAACCCAAATTAGAATGTATTTTTTAGTTTGTAGGAAAGTTATAGCGTTCACAAACTATGGTATAGATCTGAATATTGATCAATCCTGAAGTAGTGGCCAATCTAATTTCTTGAGGTCCAAGAATGTCAGAACAGTACAGATATCCCCAAATGACCCCTTTTTGCAGAGTAGACAGTCCGACGTACTTCATAAGGAGGCATGGCGAGTTTTTTTAAGTTTGTATTTTTTTTCATAATTTTTCGGAAAATGAAAAAATTAAAAAAATTATTTTCACTATTTTTTTGTACATACTGTCACCAGTGCAGTACAGCGTCATCATATAACTGGCATGGTGGGGATCAGGGACACTGACTGGTGACAGTATAAAAAAAAAAAAAACATTTTTAATTTTATTACTTTTTTTTCCTATAAGATTTTTTTTCATATTTCACTATGACCAAAGTAGTACAATGTTACCATAGTAACATTGTACTACTTTGGGGAAGTGATCAGTATTTATTTTTTTTTTAACACAATTTGCTTATAGCAAAGAATTACTTTGCTATAAGCAAGCATTTACCTGAATGACATCGATTCATTCAGGGGGTTTTTTTTTTGTGCTTAGTTGTGACTTGGCCACGGCTAATCACATGACACAGCTGGGCTGTGATTGGCCCAGCTTGTGCATGTGATCGCTGTGACCACTGACAGCTAGACACACTAGTATACAATGGATGGCATGAATGAAGCCATCCATTGTATACAACTGTCATGTGACCTGCTGTGATTGGTCACAGCAGGTCACATGGTACCGGCAACGGGGCTGGTACTCAGATCTGTCATCGGCCATGTCCGAGGTACACGGCCGGTGACAGATTGCACCGCTCTGCAGGCACGCAAACTGTGCATGCCCGAAAGGACGCCACTGGAACGTGAGGGTTTTTGCCAGCCGCCATTCGGCCATAGGCCAGGTGGGAAGAGGTTAAGTACCATCTCTATGAAGATGACACACAAACCTATTTTTCTATCCCTCACCTCTTCAGTCTCCTCTCGCATTACTAACCTACTAAATGACTATCAGCATGGATGTCACTCCACTTCCTCAAACAAAATCTTTCCAAAACGGAGCTCATACTATTCCCTCCAGCCCGTGCCCCCTCCCCGGACTTCTCCATCAAGATCAATAATACAACCATCAGTCCCTCCCCTCATGCCAGGGCACTAGGTGTAATCCTGGACTCCCACCTGTCCGTTCAGCCCCAAATCCAATCACTGTCAAAATCACATTGACTTCACATCCGCAACATCTCCAAGATACGCCCGTTGTTAACATCTGAAACTACTAAGCAACTTATTCACTCCCTTGTTATCGCCTTGATTATTGTTACTCCCTCCTCATTGGTCCTCCTAATCACAAGCTCTCCTCTCTTCAGTCTATCATGAATGCTGCTGCTAGACTCATCCACTTTACTAACCGTTCCATATCTGCAATCCCTCCACTGAACAAGCTGCTGGCACTACATAAATCCTGTATAATAATAATATTAAATAGGACACATGCCATGTCATACTTACCTGCTCTTTGCAATGGTTTTGCACAAAACACCCCCTATCCTCCCCTCCTCTTGGGGACCCTGCCAGCACTCTTGGCTCTTACCTGCACAGTGTCCCCACAGCAAGGCATTTACTATGGTGGTAATCATGCTCACTCCTGAGCCCTACTCTGTGTGTCTATAAAATAAAGTGGGGCTCGGCCCTGCCTCCCCCTTCCTTGTCACTGGCGCTGATTGACAGCAGCGGCTGTATCTGAGCCAGTGAGATTTCCTTTTCTTTTTTACTTTTAGTATTCATGGCCAAAACATTTTTTAGAGCTGAACTCCAGCCTCACCCTTTTAACACTAAGATTCCCTCAAAACATTTATATAACCATTTACTATGGTTGCTTGCCGACATCCAAGATGAATGACATCCAGCCCATTCAGTGATGCCTACTACTTGTAACAATTGTGAGTATCCTTGCAGCACACAGATGAGGTTACTTGCACTGTGATCACTGCTAGGATGGGAAAGGAGTCAGTGTGCCCTGTTGCAGGTACTTTCATGTAATCTTGCAAACAGACAGGCAGACTGAAATCTGACGCCTATCCTATCAACACCGATCACAGTGTCTGTCCAACTGCATCCGCACGGAAACTGTAGTAGCTGGCAAAATTAGGCTCCTTGTACATGGGACACTTCTAAATGATGGAAATTGACTGCTGGAAAACATTCTGGGCATTTTGGAAGGTCTTCTGAGGTTATCTTTAAAAAATGCTACTAAACACAAACGTGCATAAATGCAATATGCAACCGTGGCTAAACAACGTCTATTTAGCCACGGTTGCATACCACATTTATGCACGTTTGCATTTAGAAGCATTTTTTTAAAGATAACCTCAGGAGACCTTCCAAAATGCCCAGAATGCACTGAAAAACAGTAATTAACTATTTCAGACATTTTGAGAGAAATAGAGAAATCTGTGCAGAAATTATTGCAGCAGTGTCTAACATTTTCTTTCATGAGAAACCTCAAAGTATGGTGTACCATGTCCATTTGAGTACCGGGAAAACGCTTTGCATGCATTTTTCATGATGAAAAAAGGCTCTGGACAGAATCTGAAAATGGAAGAGTTAAAAAAAAAATTTAAAAACGCGCACACACACGTGGTTAGCAGCGTTTACAAGCGTTTGAAACGGTGATAAAATCTACTCCTGAACGCAAGTTTTCTGCGTTCAAAAAAAACGACTTAACTCAACTGCCTGTAAATGACTGTAAACGACAGTGTACATGGACACATAGGAAAATAGCGAGAGTTCAGGGGCTGCTGAAAAAAAAACCCACTGAACAGCTCCTAAATGAGGGTTTATCAGCTGCAGTGTACATGAGCCCTTACAGCAACTCTGCTCCACACTAGAGCAATGATAGACAAGCTGTTAACAAATTAACCCACCCAGTCTCTCTCAGCCAACAATCAACAGCCAGCCCACTAATACACTATCAGCTGAGAGCTCTTAGGAGTAGAGTGACTGCACCAGCCAAAATCAGGTGATAGACTTGTAGGGCACGCTGCCTGCCCTTCACCAGGTGATAGTGTCACCAGGTCTGAAAAACAAAAAATATAGGAGAAAAGGAGCAAGGTGATAGCATCCATTTTGGATACCTAAACAGAGCAAAAAAAAAAAAAAAAAAAAAGAGCCCCAAGGCATGTTCTAATCGTGACCCAAGACTTCAGTTTTAGGTTTTGGATTGAGCAAGGAAAGGTTAAAATCCTTGGCAGTTTATCATTTGCTGTCTGTGTACAACTTAGGTATTTCCTTTCACTTCTCATCCCAAAGACACCATAGGAAGCTAGAAAGTAATGTCCCCAAAATGTTTGACATGGAGGGGGGGGGAACCAGCAACTCCATTAAAGTCCCTGAGAAGGTTAAAAACACCAATGGGTGATTTAACCCACAAATGTTCACTTACAGTTACATATCTGTTCTGGGCAAACATTTAACCATAAGTAATGAGCAAAACATAGACCTGTCCGATTTTAGCACATACCTTTCCTCAGTGCACTCCGTCTTGTCTGAGCCATCTATTTCTATCTCTATCAGCTCCTCAGCCTCCCTCTTCGTCATGGCTGAAACGTCACAATGGCAAGCCTAGTACATGAAAATTAGGTTATTAGCAATACTCAGTCATTTCTATGAAAATATATATTGTAAACATACAAGTTTTTTTTATCTCATAATACTGTTTTCTGAAAAGTTTATCAACACACTGCTAAAGAAAAACACATGAGCAGCCACAACATATGTAGAATGTTTACCTACAGGAATTATACCAGATAGGTTCTAGTAGTAGCCAGCAACTTAACATACAATCTAATCCCCTCTTACTACCATAGAAGTGATTGAGAAGCTGTAAAGATGCCTAGATCACTTTTACTGAACAGCAGAAGACGGCAAAAAAAAAAAAAAAAAAAAAAGATGCCAGGTTCATGGCTGCAGCTATGAGCTTGCTTTAATCGCTTGAAGTCCAGGCTGTTTTTACGCTTTTGAAGTGTTTAGCTCAGGGATACCTATGATCAGTTCTTTAAAGGATAAGTTCACCTTTTAACAAAAAATAAATGCACTTTTTTTGCAGGTTTAAAAAAAAAAAAAAAAAAAAGCGCATTTATTATTTTGTGTTTGTGAAGTCTCTAAGGCATTGCACCAGCATTCAGCAGATTGTAGTGACAAACAGGTCTCTCTCTGACCTGTCAGTATTATCTACTTGCTTGTACATCCCATACGAGCGAGCAGATACTACTGACAGGAAGGCTCAATGAACTACCACGGCGCTGTGCAGTGCCATGGTAGTTCACTGAAAACTACAAGCAGACAGGCACAAATGCTGCCAGGACTTTTTCCCATTCACAGAATACTATGAATAAGTGACATGGCTGGGTGGGTGGAGCCCCGCATGGGCACTTTTTTAATTTAACAGCTAGCTGTCACAGCAGAGAAGGGGCCGGTCTGATCATAACATGTTACACCCGGAATATGGGTGTAACATGTTACGAAAGGTGAACTTATCCTTTAAGGCCCTTTTACCACAGGGTGGACAAATCAGGTCCACCTGTCAGTATTTCTGGTAGATCCCAACGGACCCTCTATTTTCCTCTGTAGAGCGGTGAGTGAAACAGATGTCTGTTTACACCCGACTGCCAAGCGATCCGCTAGATGTAAGAGGTATGAATCCCCGTCTGTTTTTAACAGATCAGACGGCAGTCAGATGTAAACAGACAGGTGGTCCGTTTACATCTGTCCGCCCATAGACGAGAAAGGAAGGCGTCTGTGTCCACTCTGCGTAAGTGGAGTGAACACAGAACAGCCATCGGCTTGCTAAGCAGACAGATCCCTCGCTGAGCTAGCGGAGCCCGCCCCGTCTGGAAGGGGCCTTAAGCTGAATTCAAGGCAGATATTAAAGACTCAAAATGTATGCAGCACTACAACCAATACATGTACTTTTTTAAAGCAGTGTTAAGTACCTGAATCTGACCTGGGTTCAACCTCTTGCAGTCCCTGTACAGCAGAACTGAACTATGAGAGGAAGCAGCAGTACAAGGAGCTAACTATGCAATTTTGTAAATCTCCAATATGCCATGTTAATGCATGGTCCACTACTTGTAAGCATTTAATGAAGTACCTGAGCAGCATCTCACCTAAACATGTCAAAGTGGTTCTAAAATTATATCGATTTTTATCTTAATGCATTCAGGTAAAACAAAACTCCCCTCTACCTACCCAATTCACCCCTATCCCTAAAGACCTGCCCGACTCTTCTCACTACTCCAGCGCTCTCCTGACTGCAGCACCGCTCCCATCTCTTTCTGTTCTGACCGAAGACATTGAGAGCAGCGGCCATGGGCTCCTGCTAACATTTGTGAGGAGGGGACAGGGGTGGGGCTTACCGGCGCTGTGTGTGCCTATGGGCATACACAGCCAGGCTCAGCCACGCACCCTGGCTTGCTAAAGAGCCACTCAGGGAAGGAGAAGCTGAGAGCGCCGGTGGGGGACAACTCTGTGAAATATTACATAGAGTAGGTAAGTATAAATGCTTTTTTATTTTAATTAAAAAAAAAAAAACCTTTGGCATCACTTTAAAATGGACACTATATGGAGTACTCCCTAGTCATTTGCTACTCATAAGAACTTGTAAGAGGCAACAAAAGTATTCACTGAAAAGTACTGCAGTGCTGGGTAAACGTGTATACGCTGCACAACCATTTTGTAGCCCCAGCTTTCATCGTAGACCATGAAGCATTAATACTGAACTAAGCAGGATAGCACTGAACTTGATAACCAATCATTTCGGAGTCCCCAAAAAAACATTTCTAAATGCTCTGGGAAACGTTAGTACTTGCTCATGTTTATTGAACAGCAAGATTTGGTAAGTCAACAAAATAAAAGGAAAAAGTGAAAACAGACTTGCACACGTGCTTCCGGATGAAGCTTACAGGAAGTGAATACAGACTAAAAGCTACACAGGAAACAGATTTACAAAGAGTTAAGAAAAACAAGGAAACCAGCCTAGCTGTGTACAAAGAACATAACCCATGCAGTGGGGATCTCCGAACAAACAGTAAAATGAAACCTGAATTATACAGTACTTAAAGTAGTATGTGAAAATAAATTTCTATTGTAAATTAGAAAGACCACAGATTTGATCAATGCCACTACTGATAGTGGTTGTGAAGCCTTAAGGTTTTTCTTTAACGTAATGCATTCTCTGCATGAAGGTAAAAAAACTTCTGTGTCCAGGATTACCCCAGCCCTCCCCTTATACTGACTTGAGCCTGATCTCAATTAAGTGCTGCACCCAAGAAAGGCAGTTTTCCCTCCTCATGAGGGAGTGGGGGGTGAGGCAAATCCACACTATGTCTATGGACGAAGACAGCAGGGCTCAAGAGCGAGCTTGCAGGAGTGCCCACCCCTAGCAAGCAGTTGCTTGGGTGGGAAATAGATGGTTGGGGGAACTCTGAACGCAGGAGGAGCCTGAAATGCCATCGGGGGACCCCAGAAATGGAGGATTGGGTCTGCTTTGTGCAAAACCATTGCATGGAGTAGGTAAGTTTGACTATTTTATTAATTTAAAGGTTTATAATCGCTGGAAACCATTTGTTTTCATGGAACAGGCTCCTCCATCCACACTGCACAGCACAGATGGATGCATCTCCCGGTGCTACTATTGTAATTTGACAGCCAGCATCACTAGCTATAAAAATCCCCAGTCTGCATCTGAAAATACTGAATCATGTGAGCTGCACACCAATGTCAACTTTTCCAAGCACCTTTATTCAAACCACCAGCAGCACGACAGTATAAAAAGCATCCCTGCCCAGGAACCGCCCCTCCAACGCATTTCACCACCATAACCGTAAAATGTTACTAAACCCATGACCCTTCGTTCATTATATCTGGTCTCCCACAGTACACAGAGCATGGACATGCAACTAGTTTAGTAAATATAAACTGCTAAATACATTTTTCTCATCAGCAGTATATAGCAGTCTTGTGATTTCTATCAGTGTCCGGCCAAACACTGGTTCATTTTGTAGGAGTTTTCATTCTCCCGAGTGTCCTCTAAGGCTGCAGGACCCCTGACCCTGTGTCTGGACAGTGCTGATCACATGCACCCTCCCAACAAAATAAAAACTTTAGCAATACACACCAAACTCAGCATGTGCAGCTTGCCCCTACTGCTCTCTACTTTGGCAGATAGATTGGGGACAGTAAAAGGGGAGCATCAGAGAAGACAAACAGGCTTTTTTTTTTTTTTTTTTTTTTTTTTTTTTTTTACACACAATGTGCAGGATTAACCTCTTAGGTATAACAAGCATGCTTTACTGCATATACAGACCGACTTTACTATTATAGGTTTAATAACACTTTATTGCTCATTTTCATCCTTATAACGAAGTCTATTATAGCGAAACTCTTCAAGGGGAGGTACCTGGGCACTTATGCTTCATATGCATTCATATTGCTGGTGGTTTGAATAAAGGCACTTGGAAACGTTGACACTGGTGTGCAGCTCACATGTTATCAATACCGTTAGACTGAGGCTAGAGACAGACTTTGAACAGATACCTGGGCATCCGCACTAGAAGGGAAGGGTGTGGAGAGGCGTTTCTTCTTCTGTATACATGACAATGCCTGCATCTGACTTGATGCAGGCAATGTTCCACCCTCTTTAATTTTCCTTTATTGATTTAATATGCCCATTAAAGTAAATTAAACCTCCACCTATCATATAACTTTATATATTTTTATTATTGCTTTCACCGTTTCAAAGTAGAAATGAACCTCTTAGAATAGTGATCATCAAGCTACCTGCCTATGACAAGGGGGTCTGTCATGCATAATGAATCATTTTTTTTCTTTAAATAAAAATTTAGATCTGAGTCTAATGATTGGTACCAGATTCAACCTCTAATAGTATACACAGTATATCACTTCAATCTGTCATTCTCAGAGAGGATTAGATATTTTGTTCCCTAATCGTATAGCTGGTTCAGGCAGTCAGTGCCAGTAAAGGATTCTCAACAAAATATTAAAAATTAACATTTTATTTATGATTATATTCAATTGTCTAATTACTTTTGGTCCCTTGAAGAAAAAAAAAAAGGGGGGGGATGGCAAATCTTAAGAGCTGTAATTCCTAAACCCTTCCTCCAATTTGGATGTATGAACCCTCAAACTAAACCTGAGAATGTGCACTTGCAGCCCATATCCATTATATAACTATAGCTTGAACATGTTTTGGTAAATACCTGAAAAGACTAAAATTGTGCCTGTGTCCAAATATATATGGACCTAACTGTATGTTTTTAAACCAAAGTTTACTATAACTTTAAGGTCAGTTTTACTTTATAAGTAAGTGATGGGTGGGACCAAACTATAACTGGAGTGGTTTCAGATAAAAATCACCTTAAGGCTTGGTTCACACTACAGTGACCTGACAGTTGCGTGACTTACGGTGCAACTTTGACAGGCGACTTCCTGGTGACTCGATATAACCTGAGTATGACTTTGATGTGACTGACGCGCAGCTTTCATGCCATGCTACTTTGGCCTGGGTAATCTTCCTGTAA